TTGGGTTTGATCCCAAGTTAACATGTGTATGGTCAATGTTTCTCTCTCACATGGGTGTTTTTTTCTATCTCTCTCCCTCTCCCTTCCTCTCTCTCTAAAATCAATAAAAACATACTTTTAAAAAATCATGAAAATACAAATTATTTTTTTAATTCCTCATTAGAGACATCAACATTTCAATTCTCATACTTTTTATATATATATTTAATTTATACATAAAAGAAGAAAAATACCATTTCTCCTAGAAAACTAGATCTGTAAACCACTATTTAAAGTAGTTCATGTAGAGAACCTGCAATTTAATAAGACTGAGAAAAGGTTAACCTAACATCCCCTATATTTTTTCTCCCTGTTTACTCAATTATTCAAGTACTTCCACAGCAAGCAGACCTCTAATTGTGTATGCTTTAGTGAAAGAGAAATGGTACTTGCTGTAAAATAAATTCTTGGTTGTAACTAAATTACATACCACTTCCCATACATTTTTTTTTCAAATTGCCCATTGCTTTAAATGAAAACATGCTTTAGCAAAGATCTGTAAACACTCAAAACATTCTTCAAGGACAAGTCTCCCTTCTTCCTGCTGATAAAATGTAGTTATGTTTCCATTTTCCGGTAGTCTTCTGCTGAAGATCCAAGAAATTTCAAAACTTCATTCACAGCTTACCAGTAAAACTTGAGAATTTCATTTTCAATTCACCATGATCCAACTTCAGTGCCTCTTTTAGCCACTGAATCCACTTTGCTTCTATTCATATTGATGCTGGTGTTCCAGGAGTGCAGGAACCAGAGGGTTCACGACCCACTGTGGGTTCTTGGCTTTGTGCAGGAAAGAATTCAGACTCGAGCCAGCATAGAGTTTAAAGTGAAAGTGGGTTTATTATGAAGCATTGAGACAGAGAATGTGCTACTTCACAGAGGAGCCCCCCTTTAGTGGAATTTGCTTCCTTTATTGAGGTTCACTTAATTGGGGGGTTGGGCATTCAGTGAGAGGGAGGAATATTCAGGATCTTCCCGGAAAAGGGGTGGATATTTCTCAGAGGATTCTGGTCTGTCATTTTCTGTCCTTACGTGGACTTTCTGTTTCCGGCTATGGCAGGTTGGGATGTGTCATTCAGCATGCTGATGTATTGCGGTGAGGGTGTAATGATGCTAGGGGTTACCGTTAGGTGAAATTAGTTGCCATGTTGGATCTAGCTGGTCTCTGCCCGTTTTAAGTCATAAATCCTGTGTGGAGGGTGGTCTTACTGTCTCCTTGACAGTTCCTTGCAGCTGTTTCATGAAATACGCTGTCTCAATATGGTACCATGAGCGTTCATTGTCCTTGTGCCATGTAGTCGCTCACCGCACCCAGTCCTTCTGCACTTCATGGTGACCCTGGAGTTCTGATCCTAAAGGAAAACACATACAAACACCAAATAATGCTCTTCCTATAAAATACACCAGAATCCAGCCTCAAAAAAGCAGTTTCTTGCCTCAACATCCACATGGGGAAATAAAGCTGAATGCAAATAGCTTTTGCTCTCCTCATGGCTCTGGCTTGACTGGAGAATAAGGGATAGAGACCAAAACCAATCAGCCCAAATCTAGTTTCCCCATAGAGCCGTGAATCTCATCTTGAGGCTCTAAGTGTGTCATTACAGCAGGATTCTAGATTTTCCCCCATCAATTACCAACATATTATCATAGATATAGCACAGAAGATGTGACCACCTGAATTTGTTTGTGTGTGGGTGTGTGTCAGTGGTTTTGCTGTAGCTGTCCCACCTTCACCAGTATTAATCACATCACTGCAGGCTGTCTTGGCTCCATGCTTGTGAGTCATAAGTGTCACTTACATAAAATCTGTGCCTATATTTGTACTATCTCTCTTTGTCAGTTTGTTCAGATATGATATCCTGCTTCATGCCTCCAAAAACCTAGTTTAATACTGTGGAAAGTCATCTATGTTTCATTGTACTCACAGCGTCTGACCTCACAATTCAGACTGACAGGTGACAAAGTGCTTACTGGATGGAGCAGCAATATAGTAAAAGGCTGTAACACAAAGAAGCACCCACAGGCACAAGGAAGGGGTGGCATCGGTGGGTTGTGTTTTCTCAAAATACACCTCACTGAAGTTGTAACTACAATGCAACTGGATATAAACACCTTGTCATATATTTTATGAATAAGCCTATATAACAATTTGCTCCTTATATAATTGACATTCTGAAATTAATGCCATCCATGTAGAGTATACCTAGCATTTGAAAAGAAAGAGCCTCCAGGGGCTGAAGAGCATCTTTTACAACAAAACCCGAAGTCTTTGCCTTTCATTAGCTGTTTTGCGTGCTAGCACTCGTGTGTGTGTGTGTGTAAGATGCCAGAATAATTTTATTTACAAAAGAGTCACATTGGAATCATGAGGTTTATTTTGAGCATCCCTAGAAAGTGACAGCCTCCAATCAAACATCTCATCCACCTGGGCTTTCCTGTCAGTCAGTGCAGTATGTCACATTTCTGGTGAAACCTGTCTTCTATCAACACATTCATAGAAATAGGGCTCATTTAAAACATGTGGTCAACAGAATAGAAGGTTGTGAATAAGAGCTATGGATAAAAGCAGGTCAGACTCAAGCAGCCCAATAGAGGTCTGATAGGCCATTTTAAACATGGCAGGCACATTGTTTTATGGATTGAGATGAACCCTGATCAAATTCCCAAAACGTGATGGCCAGGTACAGGAAAGACCAGTTACAGTTTAGCCTGTAAGGTGGGTGTAAATCTGATAATTCAACAATGATATTAAAAACTGAGGGATAGGACTCAGTGGTTTCCTCTTAACATTACCTGGATATATTCAGTAGCTATTTGACAAGCAATAAACTAAGCCTGATTGAACAGTCTTTTTCCAGCAAAGACTATTGATCTTCTTTCTATGTATCTGCATTTTAGGCAAATATACTAATTGCTTCAAATAGGTCCCTAGAAGCAGAGCCTGAGCTGGGGATTCTTTGCAAGTGTGTTATTAGGGAGCGCTCTTAGGAGATGGAGAAAGACACGGGATAGGGCAGGGGTAGTTGCTGGGCAAAGATGTGGTCCCAGCCGGTCAGCAGATGGAGTCAGCCTGATCTTGAGGGGAACACTGAGGCACAACTTATACTAGAGCCACCCCAGCTCAAGGAAGGGGCCAGGTTCCTGTGAGCCCGTAGTAGTAGCTGGGAGGTGGTTGCACCAGCCAGGTGAGTGGCAGATCCATTGCGGTAGCTAAGCTGATGGGACTAAATTTCTAGGAGCCTTGCTACATGGTAAGAGGCATGGTTCTCATCCCAACCATGGCATGACTAAAGACACAATAACATGACCATGGGCCCCTTGAATGACCTCTCTAACCATCTTTTCCTCATCTGTAAAATGGGAGAGGTGGATGGTAAGGTTGGATTTTAGATGATTTCTAAACTCCCAGAGCCAATGTGCAATGATTTCAGCAAAGGAAGTGGGGGGAGGCTCCCTGAGGAATAATTGAAGTCTTTCTACTTATAGGAGGGAGTTAATTAATGTAGGTGTGTCCCTGAATGGCCACTCCATTATGCACTCTTGTCTCACCTGGAACAGCTCTGGATACACAGGCAAATCTAAGAAGACAAGCTGTGAGCTGCCCTGAAGGCAGGTGTTACAAAAAGGATGGCAAGGCTCTGTTTTCAAAGTGCTTCCAAGGGAGCTGTAATGCAGCCAGGCAACCTCATTTAACTGAGCCTGCATCAAAGCAAATTAGAGGCCAGAGGCTGCCCCTGCAAAGTGGCACAACCTCTGTAGCAAGAGCAATTTAGCAAAGCCCATCAAAATTATAAATGCATTTACTATTCGGTTGCACAGCCCCTTCTCTGGGAATTTATGCTCCAGGTATGTGTGTATGAAATGGCTTTTATATAAATTTATTCATTATGCTACTTTTTCAAAAATAGTCCAAGATTGGAAACAATTCAATGGTACATCGATAAAGAGCTAATAAAAAACAATAGCAACCGCTATGGGACCTTCCATACACTAGAATACTGTCCCACCGAGAACATTCTGTGCTGATACGGAAAGTTCTCCAGGAAATATTGATAAGTGAAAAAGCCAGGGGAGGAACAGTACAGGTTAGTGTGTCATTATAAACACACACACATACAATGTAAGTATGCTTCTTTCTGTGTATAAAATGGAGGTAAATGATTATATGTTTATATTGAAGTGTATCTATGGGTATCTGAAAGTCGGTTTTTTGTGTAATATTGAAAGATACAAAAAATAAACTTCTATGAGTGATCACACATAAGGGGTGAAGACATTGGAAAATGGGATGGATGGAGACATAGGTGGGATTGATAATTCTCACCAAATGCCTTTTTATAATTTTTTTCTGGATTTTTTTCTTTCAATCACCGTAGGTTCTTCTATAAGGAAAATGGAGCAGCTGTTTGATTAAAAAATAATATGAAAATTTAAAAGGCAGACATCATTCAAAGCTGGTCATCCCAACTTGCATTATCCCATGCTTTCACTTTCAGGGATTGGCAAACCTTGGCCTGTGGTTAATAGCTGCACAGAGACCACAGGCTCACAGTGCTGAAAATATTTACTGCCTGGCCCTTTACGGAAGGTTTGCCAAGTCCAACTTTAGTTAGAGGGTTGTTTGTGAAAGAGCTGTGACTACACCGATCTGAGTTTCGGGTCCTGGAGGGTTTTGCCTTCTTGCAATCAGCTTTTCTGACCACTGATAGGTTATGCACCAAGAAAATGGCAGGATATTGCACCTGTTAAGAAGAGCATAAACTCAGAGGACAGCCAGCCCAGGTTTAAATGTGGGCTTGTTCCTGACTACTGTGTGATCTTGTCTCTTCACCTGTAAAAGGCAGATCATAATACCTCCTTCAGAGAGTTGTTTAGAAGATTAAGTATGTTTACGTTGGCAGGAAGTTTAACACAATACCTGTTAGTCTTATCATCTAATATTTTGATTTTTTATTAAACAGGGTGATGACCAGGTAAATGTATTTGGTGAGGACACCGCAGGAGGTGAGTTTTCTTTTCTGAGCATACTTGTCACTTTAGTGGCCTTGAATATGTCTTTCTTATTAAACACCAACAAAGAGATAATAAACTACCAACAACATGTACGTTTCCTTTAGCCAGAGAACACAATTACGATGGGAACTCTGCATCTCTCCACTCTTGGTCCATGTAAAGAACAAAGGGGTGCCTTGGAGATGCACCTCCTCACTGCACAGTGAACATGACCCTTGAGACACTCAGTGCAAAGAGAATGCTCTGGTAAAACATGGTTGGGGAAATGCTGAACACTCAGTTGCCCTTGGAAGAGTCACCTATATAACAGCACAGCAAGGCTCCCACAAGCCCTGCAGCAGAGAGCTAGCTAACTTTAATAAAGCAATCTTCAAATTTTTTTGGAACACAAGTCTTTTTTCTGCATAGTGGTTACTATTCTGCAGTGTACCATTGGGATACAACCTAAAAAAACCCAGATTATACTGCTTTATCATTTTTGTAATGTTAAAAGTCTTGCAAAATCTTTTTTTAAGAATCCAACCATAATTAGCTACACGAACTGAAAATAGATCACATTTTCTGAACTTGAGATTGTCCAAGAAAGATAAGGTTCATGCTTGACCTAAGTAAAATGCCTTCTTACATTATCACTCTGTAATAAATGTTATCATTATAGTCCATGGAAATACATTTATATTGACTATGAATACATATGAGTAAGCGATTGGCTTTCTAAATAACCCAGCTCTAATCCTTCACTGATCCATGCGCATGAGGTGGTGTATAAAGTGTCATTTGATGATAATGTCAATAGCAGTATGTGAAAATCTCAGTCACCAAATGACATTGTGGGGATTCATGGGGAAAGGCACATAAACATGAGCCAAGTGCAAATAATGAACTCAGTCCTGACTGGCTAGGGATTGATTGATTGCTGAATAAAGTTTCCCTTTTTCCTGGTTACAAAATTAACACATGTTCATTGTGGAAAACTTCTTAAAGTAGAAAATCAAAATCACTTAAACCCTTATGAACTCTAAATATCATGGTTAACATTTCTAGTACATTTTATTCCAAGGTGTTGTCTATATACCTGTTTTCAGATAGTTGAGAATACATACGTATATACAGATATTATCTCCAATTTTTGTGTATATCATAACATAAGCATATTCCCATGTCATTAAAAACTCTATAACCTTAATTCGTAATGACTGCATTAATGAATGTACCATCATTAATTTTTTAGAAATAACTATTTTTTAAAACTAGAATAGGATACAGCTATACCATAAATAATAATTATAATAATCACAGCCACTTTCCTAGATTGCAAATAGATTAAAAGTTGCTCATCTTCGTCAAAGTAAACTGGAAGTCCAGAGAAGGTGAGTTGACCATCCAGCCCTACATGTGAAGGGCACTAATGTGTGTTTGCCTTGAATAGAAAGCTCCAGATAACATAGGACTTTTCCAGTCTCCATGGGCTACTCTGTGAAGAGACTGGAGCATGTCTCTGATTAAAAAGAACAATAAATCATCCTTCAGTGTAAAAAACAAATGATTCGAAGGACCCCAAATTTACTTTTTCCCTCTGCTTCCAGCTCTTCCTCCCCTGTCTTGTTCTCCTTCTATCCCCAACCCAATTCTTTATGTCCATTCCTCCCCGCTCTCTCATTAGGCCTTTCACTCAGCGCATAGTGGATTCCTGCAAAAAGGTAGAATTGTGTATATAAATAAACCACCCAAATTTCACTAAAAGTAAATTTTATGACTGAGAATAATGACCTAACTTTCAAAAGTACCAATCATCTACATAAGATACGACATATAAATCAGTCATATAGGTTAAAGTGTAAAAATTGTAATTTTGTCACCAGATGGGAAATAAAAACTTTCTACTCCCTCTCCAGGTAATCATATTCTACCTGTCATTTTAGTCAACTCACATCCATAGGATGAGCAAAAGCAATTACTTCCTGAACCAGGAAAAGAGCCCAGACCTCCACCTAGACTAGGAGCTCAAGGCTGACTCCATCCTGTCCCACTCTCCAGGGCTCTCCACACTGAGAGGGCTGCTCCAAGAACCTCCACACCCCAGGGGCCCAGAATTCCAACAAAAAATACCAAATACCTTTGAATTTTAGTGCCTTTACTTTAAAATTGCATGCAAACTTTTCGTGAAGTGAAAAAGTGAAACAAATCACAATATCCTACATTGCAACATATTACGGTCTGTTCAATTTCTTGCAGTTTGCAAAGTATCTCCCTTAGATTAAGGGTTAACAAAAATAATAAAATACTCAAAATTATCTTCAACTACTCTGTCTGTAGTCACATCTGTCTAGCTGAGAAAAGCATTCAGCTTCAGTGTTTTGTTTGTCCAGCATGGTGCTCTGAAAACATGACTTTGAATGTTAACTCTTGGTGCCATAGTCCACAACACTCCACACCCATCCACCCCACTGGTTTAGAACTTTTGCCTGTCCTTTGCCTAAGCACATCAAAGAAACCTTTCTGAAAGTTCTTGTTTGTGGAACCAGCCTGCCACCCTCACCACCATCCCCATGGGTGTCAGACTAAAGCTGCTCAGAAATTAGCCAGTCAAAGAAGGACTTGAACATGGTGACTTTCACTCTCCTAAGGCCTGTGTTTTAAGCTTTCACTATCCTCATTTGCCCAGGATGGCCTTTAGGTTGGAACAGTAAAGTGGCTTCTACTGAATCCCAGTCTGAACTTCACAGCATCCTGAACTAGCCTACACCTGTGCTCTTGATCTGCCCAAAAACTCTACCTCCCGGGCAGAAGGCTGACTCTGCCCTGGCACGGTTGAGTAAGGGCCTGCTAACTCTCCTGCTATGATAGCAAGTTCAGCTCTTGGTCACATGTAAAGCCTAATCTTCATAAATAAAGCTCTAGAGCCTTAAAGCAAGAGTGAATTATTTGTCTCCTCCCCTCTCTGAAACAGTCTTGGGTAGGACTACTGTCTCCTCTGTCCTCAGATCCTCACTCTAAACATATTTTTAGTTTGAGGCACCCCTGCTTCCAGACTCAAGCAGTAACCATTGGCATTTTCTGAGCCCAGAGACCCGGAGTTCACAGAGCCATTACCAATTCAAGTTTTCGGTTGTGATCATCTCTTCAAGTGACTTCACTCTCACCCAAGGCTTCTTAGAATTTTAGTTTACTTTAGGAAGATATCTTAAACATACAGCAATAGTAGCATCATAACTATGGCCAACGGACAAAGGGGGCCATTTCCTCATATGGCCAATTTATTTACAGGAACCACAGAATCATAGGTATTTGAACCAAATTAGAGATCACTGGGTCCAACATTTCTTTTACAGATGGAGAAACTGAGGTGCAAGGAGAAGAAGTCATTTGTGTAGATAAAAAATGTAGCTCTTGTCTACCCATCCCTCATGGCTACCTACTATGGCAGATGACAACTGAGCATCATTTAGGGCTCCACAAACTTTAGAGGGTTTCACACTTTGCCAACATTTTTAATCATATCTTTGCCTCAAAGCAGTGGTTCCCCAAATTCAGTCCTCACTTGCCCCCTTTCTGATTTTTGCTTTATCTCTATACTACTTATTATACTATATATTAGTTACTTAATATTTTTTACTAAATTGACTCTGTTATTATTTACATACATTTATTTTAAAAGGAAATTTTATATCACTGGAAAATAGCATTATTTCCTGTAAATAGGAACTATTTGTAAATTATTGTGTTCCAGACTCTCTACTTGTATCTTAACCCCTTTATCAAAGAGAGATTAGCAAGTGTTTAAAAATGTGAAATAACTCACAACTGAGAGATACTTAAGATATTTTTTAAATAATTTTTTTTTAATTATCTTTGTGAATAATGCTATTTAATGGCTTATCAGTTTTACTACCTAAAGGTGATAATTTGGGTTTAAATGAAAATATGTTACCTGGATCTTGGAATAAGGCTGCAGGGGTCACCGGTGTCCTTTAATTATGGCTTATTAACACATTTACTCAACATCAAGCTTCTTTCCAAATAAAACTGCAAGGTTTTGTGTTTTACATAACCTGAGTAAAACTAGGGTTTCAATACAGTACTTCTCCCTGATAACTTAAATTATTCTTACTTTAAAGGTGTCATGGAAGATTTGAAGAAGTGTAAAATTATTTTCATGATTGGTGAGTAACAGCCCTCAAATTTTCTAATGTAGTTGCTAATAGTAACAACTTGGTAGGGGAAAGGCCATTCATTTCTCACCCTGTTTTGAAGTCTTGCCCCTTTTTCGGTTAAGTAACACCCAGAGGCTTTCGGATTGCTGCTTTGGTCTGCACAGTGTTATATTGCCTTTGGATGGGTATCTTTTCAGCACAGACGACATAGGGTTCTCCAGGGGCCCTCCCCACTTCACCACTCAGTTGGGGGGCTGCTACCCTCGACTGTCTCCCACATTCAGTCATCCACCAATTACTTACTGAGTGTTAGACCCATGCTGGGCAATGAACAGGGATCTCAGAGCTTCCATCTTAGATGAAAAAGAAGAACTAATCGAATTATTATCACAAACTTAGGAAGGATACAGGGAGCAGAACAACCTGCCTGGAGTGTTTGGGGTAGAATTGGGTTTTTACTTTATACAGAGTGATCAGGGAAGGCTTCACTGTGGAAGTGGCATTTGAGCAGAGAACTGAAGGAAGAGACCGAGTGACTGAAGGGATTAATGGGGGGGCGGGGAGTAAGAATTCCAGCCAAAAGAACATGTGTTAAGTAGTGACAATTCTAGAGCCCAACCTGAGTTCTATTTCTGATTTACTTGCCTCTGGTTGACTTTAAGCTTGGGATCTGGATGGACTCTTGCCACACTTATTTTGCATTCTTTTCAGGAAATAAAAGTACATTATTTCTATTTCTTACTAAAGAGAAACTCATCATCCTTAGTAAAGAGAAATTCATCATCATCATTTCAAAGAAAATTTTCCTTTCCACATTTTGTTTAGCTTTTATCTCAGAGGTCAAATTAAGAAGAGGAGAGGCTCTTTAAACTTGTTCAGGAATCCAAAGAATGAGCCCTTATTATCACATAGAAATCTGCATTTTTAACAATATGTTCCCCAAAAAGCTTCTAAAAATAATACAGGATATTTTGTGGTTGTGGTTACTGTCTCTAACATTAATATTATTTCAGATTTACCCATTGTTTAGCACTCACAGTTGAATTTTGAAACATATTTTCAAACATCACTTCTATGGGTCTAGGATAACAAAAGATTTCCCCTCACGTGTTCCTAAGTCCTGTGCCCTTCAGAAGATCAAAGAGCACAATTTAAAATCTTTGGCATCAGACAAAGCTTGAGACCCCCAAGGTCCACAGATCACACTCAGAACTGCTGCTCTGAGCAACAGGCTTTTCTTATATCCAACCAAACTCTCCTGTATGTCAACTTATTGGTCAGTCACTATTCTAGTAAACAACTATTTCAGCTTATTGTGTGGGCAGTAGAAGGTACAAAACCGCTGTGATACGAGGAAAAATAATTGTTGTTCTTTCAGGGTGTTTACTGCTTGAAAATTAAGGTTTTAGTTCCAAGCACTTCCTCGGCAGATGGCAGAATGATATTTTGGGGCTGCATTATTACTGCAGGTCAACTTGAGCTTGTGAAAAATACTTGGGATGTCACAGATACACCCACAGCAGCTTTGATGATTCTTAATAAACAAGAGTCAGTTGATTTCAGTGAAACAAGTGTGGTTTTATCTATATCAGAAGATGGTTGGGTTTTTTATTTTTTTAATTATTGTCTTGGCCTCAACCAGAACCACAGTGGAGCTTTAGTATTAGCAGAGGCTACATTGACATCCTCTCTGTTAGTCCTAACATAAAATTAATATTCCTGGTGTACTCTCCCCCTGTTTCAAAGTATCCATTCATTCCTTTTTGTCCACAGAAAGGTCTAAACTCCTTAAATGGGCCTTCAGAGTTCTCTCCCTACTGGCCTCGGTGTGTCTTTCCTATTTCCCTCTGCACCCCGTCTTCCGCGCCAACTCCACCTGCATCATTATTATCTCTTGAACGTTTCTCAATTTTGCCAATCTTTTCACTTGAAATGTCTTCTCCCCTAGGTAGTCATGCCTCAAGGTCAGTTAAGTTCTGACTCCCTGTGAAGTCTTCTCTAATCATCAGCCTTCCACCTCTGAGCTCCTCCATCCCTGTGTCTGCATCACTCATTTAGATACCCCGTAATGACTAGAACAACAGATATTTGTTGGAATAATGAATTGTTTCAGAAGCAGTGTGGTCATTTTCCATAACAACCGAAATAGCAATTGGAATTCTTGGAATGGAACTGACAGGGAGCTTGCCGCTGTAGTGGTTTGTGGCAGGATGGTTTTCAGGTTAATTATGAGCCTTATCAGGTGCTTCTTACTCAGTGTAGCTGCCACCTTGTCACTGAGGACAAGCAACATCAACTCTCTCCTTAATCCCCTGCCTCCCCCACCCCTTGCCCTAAGCTGGTGCTATTTCTTGCTCATTTGCAAAATAGTTGTAGGTGGAGGTAGGTAATTACACTGACTGTCATCTGAGTGGGGGGAAATGTTCTGGGAAAGTGGACCAAAGGTGGCAGGGATGGACCTCGCTGGCCCTTCGAATGTTTTGTGACTATTACCTCTTTGCTCATGAAGAAAGCAGCTCAGTGGCTGTTTATAGAGAAATACCTTCCAAAGGACAGATAGTGGATTTCACAGGATAGGACCTGGTGATCAAAAGGATTGAAAAGGGTCCTATGGCCTTTGGTTATTCACACAAGATACAGAACTGTGTTCATGTATAGGACTGGGACTCAGTCATTACTGAAAATGAAAAATTATTTGGCAAATGTAAAAATGACCTCATTAGATCCCACTAACAGACTCCCAGAGTTTTTCACAAATTTTTCTGGTACATTTCTCTCTCTCTTTTTTTAATCTCTAGATCATCTCTTATGCCCTCTTTTTCCCTTGTCTGCTTTTCATAGCCTGCGTATGCCCAAAATGTAACATGACCTGAATTCCCATTAATTCCTCTCCAAAGCCTTGGTAGAAGTGCTTCAGTTTGGAAAATCACCTGACTTCACAGATGAGGTGTGATACTAATGGCATAATAATCGAGACATCATTCAATGGCTTGAACTTTCCATGTGTCGGGGACACAGATGGCCTTGTGTGCCTTGGCATTGGTGCTGATAAGCTGCCTTTAAGTAGTAAGCTTTGAGAGGTGCTCGTGCAGTATGTATGTGTTATCCTGTGCACAACTAGTCCTATTTATTTCCTCGGAGAAAACTAGGGCAGTGAGAATATTTGCTCAAAACTTAGTATGTCAGTGAATAAACCTACTTTTTAGAGAGTATTTTCTTGGGGCTCAGGTTAAACATTTTTGGTGAAATTGACTCACATGTTTGGTTAAATTAAAAATGGAAAACAACTTGGGGGAAAAAATGAAAAACAAATCTTAATTATGTTAATTTGATGCAGGTGTAATAGAAGCCAATGTGTATTGAACACTTAACCACACTAGGCACTATATACAGTGCTTTATATCTTACTTAATGCTTGTATCCACTCCATGGAGTCTTATCGCCATCCTGACTTTCCAAGTAAGACGTTAGAGAGTTAAATAAGTGATGGATGGGGCTTGAAGACTGGGATTTTTCTCATTAGCAACAAGTGCTGCCAGTTGTTTTCGTCGAAGGGACGTCTTGCTTGCTTGCTTTTCAAGAAAAGTTTGAAAAACCATAGTTTATTTGTTAATCGGTCTTTCAGAAGGTGAAAATGACGTTCACCTAAAAAACCAACTAGTTAAGCCACTCAAACAATGACGCAGCTCCTTTTCTTGAGAAAACCATCATACCTGGGTGTGCTGCAGGGCCTTTTGAGCTTCGCATTTTGTAACACAAAAGATTAGGATGAGGTGTGCATAAGGGTCAAAATTAAATTAACCTTTTTACTGCTTCATCCAGGGCGTTCTTAAAATAGCAGCATTTTCCTCTCCTTTCCTTTTTTTTTTTTACTGTGAGTTCATAGTGGTGAATACATGACTAGTAGACTTGGATGCTGCTACCTTGATTTGCACTAGTTCTACAACGTTGCTTCTGCACCATCAGTGAAAAGCAAATAACCTTGTAGTGTCATAATGGAAATAAGGAACTCCCACAGTCTCAAAGTGGACAGCACTTTGAGAACCACCACTCTAGCATTAATTGGGGTGTGGGGAGTTGAACAGGTATGTGAAACCCCAGATTTAGCATTTAAGAGATCTTGGAGGAGAATCCCCTGTGCCTTGTTTTCACTTGTTTATTCAAAAGCAAATAACCTCAGAAATGTGAAGGAGGCATCAGGAAAAAGGGGGTGCATCTACGAAAGCCCCTGTTTCTCTGGGTTACTGTGGGCATGGAAAAGTCCTGAGGGTTTCTCTGCGCCCAGTGGTGGAAGGGATTCCTGAATGAAAATTTGGGTGCTTGTCAGAGCTGAGCAAAGAGGAGTACATCAGGAGGACCAGCAGGAGACGCCAAGCAGGACTGAAAGGAAAATAGAAGGGGTACACCTCTGGGAATCAACAAGGGAAACCCAGGACTGGAGGAAGGATTAAAAAACCCTTAAGGTGTGAGAATAGCCCTGACATGAACACTGAACTTTGAACTTATCTAAGTCTGCTCAGGCTGTTATAAGAAAATACCATAGATTGAGTGCCTTATAAAGAACAGAAATTTGTTCCTCACAAATATGCAGGCTGAAAAGTCTAAGTTCAGAACACTGACAGATTCCATGACAAGTGAGGGCCCACCTCCTGGTTAATAGACAGCTGTGTTTGCTGTGTCCTCACATGTAGAAAGAGCAAGGGAGCTCTCCAGGTCCTCTCTTATAAGGGCACTAATTCCATTCATGAGGGCTCCACCCTCATGACCCAATCACCTGTCAAAGCCCCACCTCCTACATCACTTTAGGCCCCACATCACTTTAGGTTTTAGGATTTACTTATGTATTGTGGGGGAGGGGGACATTCAGTCTGTGGTGTAACTGGACTTTCAAGGTGATCAGATATCATTGGCCTGGACTAAGAAAACCCAGGCTAGACTTGATTGAATTTCCACTATGAAGTGCAAACAGGCAGCTCATGAGCTAGGCTGGGTTTACATAGAGAAATAAG